TTATGGAGAGCCTGCTGCTCGTGGACTGAAAACTTGGGAGTCACTTAATTCACTCGCCAAGGGCTCGCTCTGGGTGCTGGAAACTGTGAAAATGGTGGCAGCGCTCAGCAGGTTTTAATTTTCCATTTTCTTTCATTAGTATCACCCATGTGGCTGCCTGTGTACATCTACACTCTTACACATCACATAGAAGACCAGTTTTTGCTCAATTGGAAGGTTCGATATCTGTGGAGTTTTAGGTTTTAAAATAGACTTTTGTTAGTTAATCGTGGCTTGGAAACTGTGTCATCACATAATTTCCCTATAAATGCAGATGTTATCATGTTATCTCCAATATAGCAAATGTGCTTATAAAGGACATAGGCATTGTCCTTCTGTGAGTGGCATTGAGATTCGGGGCTTTTGCATGATAACTGTGTGCTGGATTACAGTTACCCAGCCATTGCTGACCATCAGCTCTCTTTTTACTTACTACTTAAACACGTGCCATAAACCTCATTTCTCTGGAGATGGTTACTGTGGGAGGCAGCCCTGTACGCTCGCCGTAGGCTGGGAATAGCGCTGAATTGGATGGAATAGGTCTCGATTTTACCACTCTGGCCCATGGGTCTCCCTCCTCAGTCCACATAGAGATCATAGCACCTTGCTTTGTTGTTGTTGCTAATAGCACTTTACACATACGCAGGTTCATGGTGCTCTTACAGTCCCTTTAACACTCGGTAGTCCCTTCTTCAACAAATACCCCTCCCCGCCTACTGCCAGGGAAGACAAGGGCAGCCCCAAACACCGCATGCTGCCCACACGGCCCTTGCCTGCCTCCTCCTTCCGGCCCTCACAGCGCCTGCTCCCGGCTGCAGACCCCGGGGTCCTGTCCACCTGTGAGGGCTTGACCGGTTCCTGCATTGGCACTGTTAGCCCCGACCCCCACTCACCCTGTAAATATTTAGGGAGCGTCTACCAGGCCCCATGTGTTGTGAGCAGCAGGTAACCGGTCAGCACACCCCGCCCTTGGAGTCTTCCTGTTTGGATTCTCAGCGTTGCCATCTACCAGCCGTGGGGTCTCAGGGGAGTTACTTACCCTCTCTGAGCAGCCTAGTCTTCCTCTGGCCCATGGGGGAGCGAGTAGCTACCTTGTAGGATGGGATGATTAGAAAGGTACCCCACCCACACCAGAGAAGCGCCCAGGCTGTCTGGAAAGCCCTGGGAATTAGGAAACTGGTGGTATGAGACGTCTGGAGGGTAAGATTTGCTTCAGGAACAGCCCCTGAGTGTGTAACCCAGGACTTCCTGCCTCGTCCCCCGGGTCCCCAGCCCCGAGACCCACCCCTCTCCAAACTAACACCTCTCTTCTCCGCAGGGGGCCGGCTTCTCGGGGTTCCTGTGGGACGTGGGGGCCGGGGTGGAGCTGAGAGACGCCGCCTCGCAGGAGAGCTCCCCGGGCAACGGGCACGGGAAGCCCGCAGGCCCCAGCCCGTACCTGGCGCGTTTCAAGGTACCCGCTCCGCGTCACCGCGAAGGCCCGCTTCTCCTAAAGGGGACATGTCCCTGTAAGCTGGGAGCCAGGGAAGCCCGGCTGGCTGGCCTCCTGGGTTTCACTTGGCAGTGACCTTGCCCAGGGCAGGAATGAGGGGTTCGGGGGGACCCGGGGTCTGAGAATCCCCACATCTGGGCGGGAAGGACGGCAGGCGCTGGCCCCAAAACCTGACACACCAAATCCCCCGGGGAGACTTCCTTACACTCGGGGACTCCTGGACCCCGAGCCTTACGGAGTTTCTGGGACAGGGCCCAGGACTGGCCAGCTTCTCAAGCACCTCCCTGCTGCTCCAGCCCCACCCCCCTCCGACACACACACACACACACACACACACAGAGCGCTGGGTCAGGGGCCGGGCAGCCGAGGCCCTTCTCCTCCTTTCCAGGCAGAAGGGGGCCCTCGGGGGATCATTGGGTTTGGAGGGGGCTTGGGAGGGGCCTCTGGGGTGTGGGGCCAGGACAGCTGCAGATGCGCCCTCACCTTTGCGAGTGTCTGTCCCACCAGAGGCAAGAGCAGCCAGCAGACCTGGCGGAGCTGCCTCTCAGGCCCCGGATGCCCTGGGCAGTGTTGATGGACGGCAGGCGGTCAGGTGCTGGGCGGCGGGGGGAGGAGAGGCCAGCGGCCAGGACAGCCCACGGAGTTGGCAGTCCATTGACCTGACCCCCACGGCACTGACCTGTGACTCACAGGGTCCAGCAGGTGGGGTCCCTCACTCAGAGCTGGGAGGCCGCCTGCTGGGCATCAGGGCCACCCCTTCCATGGGCTGCAGAGCAGGTCCGGAGCCTGAGAGCTGCCCCACCCAGCAGTTTCTCCCTGGGCCCCGGGTCCACTGGTGGGTGGGCTGCCTGCGTTGGGGCTCATGCCCTTCTCCCACCTGTGGCTGTAGAGTTGCAGGGATTCCTGAGCACACACCTGGGGGTGTCTGGGTGGGGGGGGGGCGGTGCTCATGGTACCGATGTGGAGAGCAGCTGGTATCATCTCTAAACTCTCCTCACAATAGCGGATCCCTTTTTACGTTCAGTGGTTGTACCAGCCACGGCCATGCGGGCGACAGCCAGCGCCCGCGGTGTCTGTGAGAGGTGGGCCGTCCTTAATGGCCCAGTGAGAAAATGCCCTCCCGTCGGAACGATCGGTCCACATTCTCCAGATGAAGCAGCCCCTAGGCAGGCCCTCAGCCGCCTGTGCTTCGGGCCCCATTCCAGGCCAGGCAGGCGCACAGGACAGAGGCGTGGCTTCTCTCTTGGGGCTCCCCAGGCGGGGTTTCCCTGCCCACATGAAGAGGGGCCTCTGCGGTCAGAGCCACAGCTGCAGAGAGCTCCCGGCGGGGGGCGGGGGGCAGGCCGGGCTCACATCTGTGAAACTGGCAGCCGCCACTTCCCGGGGCCCCCGCACGCCCTCCCTTCCGATCAGTGTGTAGTGTGGTTGCCGTGACAAACGGAAGTCAGGATTGCCAGACCCTAGCAGCCAAGCAACACTGCGAGCTCAGGGACCAGCCCCACCTGCACCCCACGGCCCCCTCCTGGGGATGCAGGGCAGGGCAGAGCCTGTGCGGCAGGTGAAAGCGAACATCGGGGCGCGGGGCCTCCGGGGGGAAGAAGGCACCGCAGTGGGGGATGCGTGTGGGTGGGGAAGGGGGGCCCACAGTGGGGCCTGCAGAGGATCCAGGCAGCCCCCACCCCGGACAAGACCCTGGACGTTGCTAACAAGCAGCTGCGAGAGCCGCCACCCCTCCCTTGTAGTTGCTTAGGAGGGAAAACCCTGGCATTCCAGATGGGCCACCTGCCCAGGCCCAGCAGGAGGGGTGCCCTGCAGGGGGGTGGGCGAGAGAACATATAGGGCTCACCCTGCAGGTGCCTCTGACCCATCTCACAGGGACGCCCGCCTCGCCTCCTGCTGTCCACGTTGTGTATGAAGCTATGGCGAGTCGGTCGTCACGAAAACCGGGAGTAGAAGCATCTAAGCCCGTCCCTGTTGCTTTGTCTCCTCCTGTCCAGGTGGGAAGTCATGACTTGACTCTCGTGAACCTTCACCTGGCGACCCTGCCCCTCCCGGCGGGGGAGAACCCCAGCAGGAATCACAGCGACGGCCCCCGCGGGGCCAGCTTCGCCCAGGCCTTGCAGGAAACCCTGAGAGGTGGGAACTGGTCTTTCTCTGGGGCGGGGCCGAGGCTCCGGCTTCTGCGGGGCGGCCGGGGCAGGCTCTGCCAGCAACTCTGTCCTGCGGGCTGGTCCTTGGATGGGCAGGGTGCGTGGTGAGGGCACAGGAGGTGCACAAGGAGGTGGCCACGCCTGCACCTTCTGGAGCCGGCGCCCGTGCACAGGGACCTCCTTGTCTCTGTGCATCTAGCATGCGGGACCCACAGCATTGGCTGTGTGGCTCCGCCTGTCGGTGCTGGAAAGGGTTGGGGGGATCCATGACGCCACCTGGGTCTCTACACCCGCTCATCTTGTGAAGGAGAGACGGCTGACGGCCAGAGCTCTCGGAAAAGCTGCTTTTCATCTCGGCTCCTTCAGCAGCTGCAGGGCCTCAGACACCTCGTCACACATCACCCGATGGGGACCCAACAGTGCCGCCCTCACGGTGCCTGGGGGCTCGCTGACTGCGAGAACCAAGCCCATCGGTGCTGGTGGACGTGAGTTGACTCGGAAGATTCCAGAGGGATTAAAGCACATGGAAAGGCAGATCTGTGTGCGCTTTGCCGGGAGGAGAAGCGGCCTGGGCGGCAAAGCCGGGATGTGTCAGCTGGGCTCGGGTTTTCGGGGCGCTGGCCTTCTCTGGTGAGGGCTCGCAGCCTGGAATTCTCTTTCACGTTTTTGAGTTCTGACCAATATCCTCTAGCTTTCTCAGCATTTTTCTTGTTACTTTGGCCCCTCACAATGTAGTCAATTAATGAAGAAGCGACTACAAAAATAGTTTGGCCAAACTACAGTCTTACATTTGAGATTGTTTTATTGCAGTAAAATGCACATAACATAAAATTTACCATCCTAGCCATTTTTAAGTGTGAGTGTCAGTGGCATGAAGTACCTTCACTTGGTTGTGTGACCATCACCGCCCTCCATCTGCAGAACTGTGTCATCATCCCAAACTGAGACTCTGTCCCCTGAACCACTAACTCTCCCTGCTCCCCTTACCCCCCCGCCCCCAATGCCTGGGAACCTCCATCCATTTCTGTCTCTATTAGCTTTTCATCTTTATTAGTTTTGGGATCTTTTTATGCATCTGGTGAAAGTGACTGCTCTCAGGACCTCCTAGAAGTAGAGTCTTAAAATCTTTGCCCTTTTGTGTCTGGCTTATTTCATTTAGCCCAATGTCCTCAAGTTTCCTTTATGTTGTAGCACGTGCCAGGATTTCCTTCTTTTTAAGGCCAGATACCATACCGTTGCATATAGGGTGAAGCAAAAGTAGGCTTATAGTTGTGGGTATTCGAAGCACAGTTTATCCTTGTATGATTATGTATTATTGAATTATTTCCCACACAAACAACTGTACACCTACTGTTGCCTCACCCTGAACATTTACTGCCTGTCCATCCCCCAGTTTGGTTTACCTGTCCATCCGCCAGTGGGCATGTGGGTTGTTTCCGTCTTCCGGCTGCTATGAACATCAAAATGCGGCTTCCGTTCGGGGCCAGGATATGCTGGGACCCGCGTTCTCCTGAAAAGATGAGTCTCTGGGCTGAAAAGGGAGCAGCTAGGTGGGAAACTGTTCGCCTATAGCTAGTCTGTGACCTATTCAAAAGGATGGCTGGATAGCTTTTAAAACCTGTGGCCATTCCTATTGTTCTTGATCTCAACCTTTTCCCTTTTCCTTTTAACCTGGAAACAGAGGGAACCCGCCAGGTCGCTGCTGCTCTGATAGCCGCAGGCACTCCCCGTTTCTCTCTGGCACCAGGGAGGGTCAGGTTCGTACCAGAAAGCCTGGGCGGGTTCATGCTCCAAGTCCCCAGCGGCGCGGCCTTGATGCGTCCGGGTGCGGGCCGCGACTCACGCTGCCGGTGTCCCCCCAGGACTCGGCCGCCCGAGGACTCAGGAAGTGCCCCTGCCGCGGGCGCAGCGGGCAAATACAGGCCCAGGCAGCTCAGCTGAAACAAAGGCCAGGCCTCGCTCCACAGGCTGTCAGAGCAAACAGCCGTGGGTTAGAGGGCTCGGCCTTCCTGCCGATGTCGGAGGCTGTGCCAGGCTGGCCTCAGGGGGGGCTGTGCCCGTCATCCGATGGCGTCTCTCAGACCCCCCGGGGCAAGACCAAAGCCGGCACAGAGTAGCGCCCGGCATCTGCGTGGACGGCCCCTCCGCGGGGACCGGCACCTGCCATGTCACTGACGTTTTACATGCCTCGGGGCCGTCTAGGAAATCCGCCCGGGCATCCTCCCTTCCCTCCTGGGAACCGAGGACGTGACGGGGAGCCCAGCCGAGGCGATGCTCTCTGGGAGAATCCAGGCCTCTGCACCGAGATTCTCAGCGACAAGCAGGGTCTCGATGGCTCCCCCGCCGCCGTCACCAAAAGGAGAGGAGCCGTGAGGATCCCGGCGGGCAGCGCCTGTGCAGAAAGAGCTGTGGCCTCCTACACGGAAGACAGAAGAGCGGGCCTTCCCCTCCTGCGGTCACAGAGCTGGGCCTGTGGAGCCTGCACACCCAGCATCCCTCCTGGTCAAGAAGGGTCTTCCAGCCCCCCCGTCCTCAGGTCTGCCCCCCAGGAACACCTCTCACTGTGGGAACCTTCCGCCTGTTAGCACCTTCCTTTTCCTCCGTCGTCAATACAGGCAGCCACCCCCTCTCCCTTCCTTTCCAACCTGAGCGGCACCTTCGTTCTGAGGGTTTCTCAGCCTTTCCCGTTTAGTCCATGTGTGTCTACTGAGGGTCTGCGTGCGGCAGGCCCTGTTCCAGGCACCGGGGGTTTGCGATGAGCCCCCACCATGTCCACGTGGCTGTGTCACCCCAGCTCTATGGACGATGCTGGACTGGAGCGCTGGCTCAGTGCCTGACCTGCAGAGAGGGCCTGGCACAGGGCCAGGGCTCAGTGGATGGCTAACACTGGCCGGGTTTGACTTGTTGTGCACGTCATTCTCAGGTCAGCTTTCCCACTGGAAGACGGGTCCCTCCGATGGAGGCTGAGGGGCCATCTCTGCTGCCCACACAATGACGCCTCAGGGAAGGCTTCCCTCTCACCCCCTTTTTGTCCCTCCTGCCCCAGAGGAGGGTCCCCTGCGGTGCACGAGTGCCCTCTGCTGGTGGCTTGTGCCATTTCACTGTCGAGACTTCCCCTAACAATTATGCAGCAGATTCGGGTCAAGGAAAAGGATTTGGTGGGTGCCGGGTACAGTGGGCTCTCGTCTACGAACTGCTTTCTTCAAAGCCTCAGTGATTGAGCATCAACCTATGAGCCAGGAGGTCACGGTTCGATTCCCAGTCAGGGCACATACCCGGAGTGTGGGCTCCATCCCCAGCAGGGGGTGTAAATCACTGATGTTTCTATTCCTCTCTCTGAAATCAATAAAACATTTTTTAAAAGAAAGGTGTGACCGAAACACCCCGCTCTACGATGTCATGGCTCCCTGAAGGGAACCGGAGACACGCGGCGATGGTCAGGCTGCCCATGAGACTCGCTGAGCCCAGCGGGGCCCACTGCCCTTTCGGAACGTCTGCTCACTTTGGACAATTCTTCATAACTGTCCCACTCACTAGTATCCATCAAACCGTGGGGGGAACGTTGAAAATGCTTTAAAGAGAAAAGCTCTCCAGGGCGACTCTGTATTCGTCTGCTGGGGCTGCCTAACAGACCACCACCCCTGGCGGCTTGCACAACACATGCATTTTCCCCCAGTTCTGAGGCCAGAAGCCCAAGGCCAAGGTGTCAGCAGGGCTGGTTTCCCCTGAGGCCTCTGTCCGTGGCTTTCAGACGGCCACCTTCTCCCTGCTTCTCCCTGTATCGTCACATGGGCCTTTCCTCTGTGTTCAGGAAATGTTTCTTTGAGCTTTTGTAAAATCTCTGGGCGAGACCCTTAGGCCTGCTTCTGCTGTGAGGTTTGGAACACACGAGCTGGACTAGGGGTGACCTCGGCACACACGGCCCCCCCATTACCAAGTGTGTTGCTAACCTCCTCTTGAAGGTTTGGGGATTTTCGCACAAGGAATTTGGGAAAATTGGAAGAATGAGAACCACCGGCAGTCCTAACCCCGGGGGGCATCAAATCAGAGACTCGCGGTCCCACTTACAAATGGGCTGTGGTCAGCGCCGGGTGTCCTTCCCGCCACGACTTCCACTCCTGATTTTCTTCCTTCCACTTCCAGGAGAAAAGGACGTGGTTGTCCTGGGGGACTTCGGCCAGGGCCCGGACAGCAGTGACCATGACCTCTTGCGGAAAGAAAGATTCCACCCCCTGGTCCCCGCGCACACCTTCACCAACATCAGCACCAAGAACCCGCAGGGCTCCAAGTCCCTGGACAACATCTGGATCAGTAAGAGCCTGAGGAAGGTTTTCACAGGTAAAGCCAGTCGCGCCTCCTCTCTCCTGCTCGGGAAGGAAGTAAGCGAAAGGCGTCTGAACCGGCAGTGCCGATCGATCGTCTGGGCTGAGCAGGAGGCAGGAGTTACCCACCTCCTCTGGGGGCAGTGTAGGGTTACAGTTCAAGTCACCATATAACTGTCACTCCAACTGAGCCACTTAAGAGTGAAGGTGGGTGTGAAAAAAGAATGGAAAGGCATTCACTGACCGACAACAAGGCACATGGAGTGTGTCCCGGGCAGACCTGGCGATGGGCTAGCAGAGACCGGTTCAGAGATGAACTGACACCTTACCCTAAGTCTAGGAGGCCCAGCCACTCAGCCAGCATTTCTCCAGCCTGTCACATCCAGGTGCTGTGCGTGGCCTGTGGTTACGCCCACGCAGTGCCCAGGAGCGCAGTCGGGGTGAGCAGAGTGTCGGGGTGACCGATAAGGCGGGAGAAGCACATTAGACAGGACCTCACCAGGACCAGGGTGTTGTGGGTAATCAGCACTGAAAAGCAGCCCACCCCCAAAACAGGAGCCTGCTGAGATGACTGTTTGGGGTCAGAAAACAATGAGAAATGTGGAAGCCACAGTAGGTGCTTCTGCTGAGAGATAGGAACGGGGGTCTCTGTGCTGCCTGGAGGCTTTGGGACCCCAATGGCTGCACAGAAACGTCAGTGAGACAGTCACAAGTGAGAGGGACCAGGCCTGGGCTGCTGGGGGATGGGGACATGCAGCTGGGCTGAGGTCCTCAGCGCCAGAAAGTCCAGCCTGGACACTGGTTTCCTGTGGGACTGTGTCCTGAGGGGGAACGTGGGTCTCGGGGGGCCACCGAAGGCTCTGTTCTCACCAAGCCAGCCTAGAGCCCGAGAACACAGGGCCCTATGAAAGCCACCAGGCAGGTCACCTGTGCTGTGCTGTTCAGGTGTAGAAGCTGAGGCGCAGGGAGGAGTTCCCACCATCGGGAGAGGCCATGGCTCAGACCAGAGCGGCCTGGGCCTCTCACACTGGTCCACGTGGCTCCGCCCCAAGGCCACAGCCTCGCATTCCACTGCTCTGCACCGGCTTTTGGAGCTATTTCATTGTTTTCCTGCTTCATATATTTCGTAATCTTTAGTTTTTAAAATTTAATGGTTCCTAATCCTCTGTAACTTGCCCGTTGTTCCCCTTTTTATGGAACTGACCCCCCACCAGTCTTGCGTTGGTCATCCCGGGAGACGTCTGTCCCTGTGTCAGACACTCCCGTTCTCAGATTAGAAGTGTGCGTGGCGAGGAGGCGGCCAACCATCGGCCGACGGGTGTGGGTGGGCAGGCCGCCTGGACTGCGGGCTTTCGGGGGCCTGAATGATCAGCGTCACCTGTTCAGAATCAGTGGCGGCGGCATCTCATTGGCAGGGCGCTCCCTGTAGCTGTGAGGGCGGGGATTAGAAGTGTGCGTGGCGAGGAGGCGGCCAACCATCTGCCGACGGGTGTGGGTGCGCAGGCGGCCTGGACTGCGGGCTTTCGGGGCCTAAATGATCCGCGTCACCTGTTTAGAATCAATGGCCGCGGCATCTCATTGGCAGGGCGCTCCAGGTAGCCGTGTGGGCGGGGCCCCAGATGGGGGGGAAAGGGGGGGCAGAGTCGTCTCCGCCCACCAGCCTGTTGCCCCGCCCATCAGCATGTGGGTCTGCCCACCAGCCCGGGCCCCGCCCATCAGCATGTGGG